ATATTATATAATAGAAATATATTGAATATTGCTTTTTTAAATAATTTTCGAAATAAATTTCGGGATAAATATTTCATTATTTTATTTTGATTAAAATTATAGAATTATACTTCCGAATCTTGAAAAGATTCCAATCCTCAAGAATATATTTATAATATTTTAGAATATTTTTCTCTGAATAGATAGGGATGCCAATGGATTCCGATAATTATAATATATAATTTCCATTCATTTTTATTTTCCGTTTCAAGTCCAATTTGTTTTGAAACGGGCAGTGCGGTTGATTTGCGCCGTGTGCCGTGAAACAGGTTTCCAGATACGGCAAGATCACAAGTGAATCTAGAGTTCAAGTGAATTAAGTGCTAAATATTCAGAAAATCTCCTGCAGGTCAAATTGTCTGTAGTTTCAATTCGGCATCGTGGTTTAGGACATATTTTCCGACATATTTTCTGGCGGATCCCTCAAAAGCACGTCAGGTATCCCTACTATGGGCTAGCTATTCTCCACACGAAAACAGGCGGTACGACATTGTATAACAATGTAAAGCCCACCAGGACAACCAATCAGCCTCGATAATCCCATCCCACATTCATATTAAATACCAGAAACATCCAGAAACCATGGCAGAAAGTAGCGGTTAAAAGTGATGAAATCATAGGTATTTAGGACCATGCAGGGGGGGTGTAACTAATGTGACTAGGGGATGAGATTATTAGACGTGGATTCCCATTGCATTCCCATCAAATGATGGGATTCCCACGTTATTTTTTGGGTTTCCAGTGGTTTCCAAACTCACCTGTCCTATCCTGTCCTTGATTGTGTTCACCAAGTCCTCCTGTATGTCCCCACGAGCGTCGTGTAGCTTTTCGTTTTTCAAATTCAGCATCTCAGCGTAGCCGGACAGCGATGGGGCTTGGGGCCGACTTGGGGAGAGTCCCAGATGGGAATGACACCCGCAAGATGAAGTATATTCATGTACATTCTGCTTAAACTGTTGAAATATGGTGAAATCGGTGTCTTTCACCCATCTAAGTTGTTGCCAGTTGGGAACCAACTTGTATCATCCGGATGGTTCCCACGGTCTAAAATCGCCAAGCGGCTGCATTGATCAGGGCGTAGGTAGGCAGAACTGCTGCTTGGACCAAGTTGTTTGTGACCAAGGTGGAGCCCGCATACCTCCGCGTAGCCCCGCTGATGATTGCTGTTTTGGCCGTAAAAACCTCTCCACTTTTTACAAATCAACACCTCATGGTGGATACCAAAACATAAAACTCAAACCACCAAGGTCAAATCGATATATATATATATAAATTAATCCCAAGTATACGCATTCAACCATCATCATCAATCCCAACTAATGACATCTAATGACCATAAATATCCCCCTTCGAATTAGGGGGGAGGTGTCGCACCCGGCTTGTTGTAGTACAAATCCATGGGTTTTTGAAAAACCCTACAAAAAGAGTCGGTTTTTACGAGTTTTGGCCCTTACAAAAAGCATAGGGTTTTAGCACCCTCATTCGACTTCAAACACCCACCCCATTTTATAAGGTGACGACTTTCTTCACGATATGGAAGTTGTATATTTGTCGATGACCTTTTTATAAGAAGTTGTGATTTTAGATGGCGTTTTCAGGCATCATTTTGTAAGGACACAACTTCTGGTTCCCTGTTTCTGGTTTTCCCGGACTCGTTGATTTTCAAGCAGCCTTTTTGTAAGGATTCCATTTTTTGCCACCTTTTGGTTTGCTTTATATTTTGTGTATTTTTGCTTCTTTGGCCTCATTGCCTACCAGAACTCCTTTCATGATGTCTCGCGTTTGTATAATCACATGAGTACCAAAAATAAAAATAAAAATTGAACACGAAAGAACATGTACAAAAAAAACACATAAGATAGCCATGAACGTCGTCATACTTACAACTTGCAAAAGATCTTTGGCCATCCTCGGCCAACACAACACCAAGAAGAAAGTTGGTGCCTCCACCAAATCCAAAAATTGCTGCCATGGCTGCCCTAAAACTTGAACTGTGCCTTACAAAATGGCAAGGTGCTGGTAGCCCCAGGAAGCTTCCTAAAATAAACACTCCTCCCCTGTAGGGTAGCAACACCTTGGCATTTTGTAGTGAACCTAACCTATATAGTACCTATATGGAGTCTAAATGAGGTTTGTGTAGCTCTGGTTACCTGGATGGATCTTCAGGGATAGCTACTGATTTGCATATGCACCTGTATGCATATGTATTGAGGATGATCAACCCACCCTTTTTGTAAGACACACCTGGCCCCCTGCCATTTTGTAAGAGGCTACCCATTAACACTTCTAGTTTCAAAGATAAGGATGATCAGGAATGTTATAACGTGAAAAAATGAGTCAAAATATCATATAGACATATATAGACTCATATAGATTCATATAGATTTCATATAGATTTATATAGAATCATCAACGCCGAGTGATGGCAAATCTGGTGCACTCCCAACACCAGAAAGCCAACTCACCAAAAGAACCGCAAGAAGCCACGCCATTGGGATGTGTCAGGGCTGTGGGCTGGGGCCTTTTCGGAAATAGCCAAAACAGCTATCACATGATTGAGGCGAATCAAAAACATGTACAAATCTGAACAATACTTTGTATCAATGCCTAAAAAGCATATATTCTTACAAAAAGGCTCTTCTAGTCTTGACGACATCTCCTTACAAAATGTCATTGCACACCCTGCTGAATTCTTTTTTGTTTTTTTTGATGTTCAAAAACAGCATCTTGAGCTTACAAAAAGCCTCAAAAAGACAAACTCGATGGTCTTAAAAAATGACTTGGCACCTCAAAACTCTTACAAAATGAACACTTGAAAATCCACAACTTTGCCTTTTGGGTGCCCTGTTACAAAAAGGCCTGATTAGGGGTCTTTTTGTAACTACAAAATGACCCTATATAAACCATTTGTAAGAGGGTCGACACCTTCCATTCTGTAAGGGAAATTCGATCGGGGATCCATAAATATATTTTCCAAAACCGCCAAGTGCATCTGGTAAGATCATCATGGGTCTCAAAGAAACGCATTGAGTAACTCGATGGCTTCAAAATCGAGAGAACAGGCAACTTTCCCTTGCTAGGTGGGCCATCATAAACACGAGGTCGGACAGTGATGTCGCCATGATGTGAAAACAGGTTTGTTGGTCGAATTCCACATTTCTTGTGAAGTTGAATCTGCTTTTAATGCATAAAGCTGCGGCTTTGGCGGTTGAATCCCCACTTCTATTGGTTAAATTCACATGTGTATGCTTAAACCTCAATTTGTGTTGTTTCAATCCAATTTTTTCCCTAGTTGAATATGTTGAATCTACAATTTTGTTGGTTAATTCCCACTTTTGATGCTGGAATCCACTCAATCCACTACAATAACAATCTTAAAGCGTCATTATTTTTGCTGGTTGGATCTCCACTGTTGTTGGTAAAATCCACTTGTTGTTGATGGCTTTTGGCCCAGATACATGTTTCGAATGGCCAGCTGGATAAGGAAGAGGCCAAACAACGACGCAACACCTTCCTGCGGCGGGCATGAACTACCAACGAATTTCCATGGATCCCCATGGTATCCCATGGATCCACATGGTATACCTGGACAAAATTGTTGAAACATGTTGAAACATGTTGAAACCATGTTTATGTCATGCAATTTGGCCGGCGTTGTAAAATCGAGCCAAGGGTCTATCGCCAAAACGATGATCGCAGAGGTCGAAAAGCCGAGCCGGTGGGTTTCGTACATCAGAAAACCCTTTGTTGCTTTGCCCTCCGCAGCAGCAATGTAGTGCCTTTGAAGAGCCTCGCAATGATCGGGTTCGATGAAATCTAACTGCAAGCTTGGAGGTGCCACTTTTGAGACCAAAGGCAGCAAAACGTTGTAATTAAAACCCTAAACCAAACTTGTTTTTTTCGGTACATTTTCCCTCCATTTCGGGCAGTATTTGGCAATGTACTCCATCGCCTTGAGCCGGGAGATCACAATGGTGGCATAGGCGAAGACCGTAGCCAAGGGAATCAGGGCATCCACGATGAGCTTCGAATCGATTGAGGCGACAGCTGCCAAGTAGATCAGAGAACTAATGATGTACCTGCCATGGACCCATTGGACCCATGGCATGGAGAGCATCAAAGCTACATGGTGCCATCATGTGCCATCATGTGCCATCATGTGCCATCATGTTAGTCATGTTAGTCATATTCATAATGGACAGACCCACGATGACCCACGGATCCAAATCGGGGGGAAATGCTCAAGAGCCAAAGCTGATCCTTTGGGTTGGTGGTTCACTCGAACCAAAACAGCCAGTTTCTGTTAAATGATCTTTGACCAGTTGGGTTCCGACCAATTTTCTCTACTGCGATATGGTTGCAAACCCCGGCTTGCCACTGCGACATGCGACCAGGGCACACAACGCTCGCCACAACCCAGCAAGTCATTACAAAAATCTGAAGCAATGCAAAGGTGAGATTCAGCCTGAGACCAAAAAAAGTCACCGCACGAGCACAGGGAGATTTTGGTGGGCTGTGGTTGCGACATCATCCAAGGGAACATGGATAGGGATGGATAGGGCATGATAGGGCACTCTGAAGTGAACCGTCAAGTTCCTTGAAACATAACTTGAAACTGTGATTGAGGCCGCCTCTCAAACAAAAACAAAAAAACAGTCCGCTTCAGCAGGATTTGGATCTTCGCCAAACATCTCATCAAAAAGCGTGGCATCGCACCATCAGCCGTGGAACTTTCCATGGCTGAGGGCGAAATAGTAACTCAAGCCCAATGGGATCACTGCCAGACCATACGCCCCCATGAGGAAGTGGAAGAGGGGAACCCAAGCCTCACAACTTGCAGGACCTGGTGAGCCTAGGGAAAATCATGGGAAAACCCTCCACAAGTGTCAGAAAATAGCTATTTCAGATATTTCAATCATGTCATTTGCAATTTAGCAAGTGCCGGGGGTTATAGGACCACGGTAAAACTGCCATTGAAATGAACACAGCTACTTTAGTGGGATTAAGTTAATTCAGAAGCGTTTTTTCGTAGAAACTTGTTGGTGCTTGTGCCACCCCTCTCAAAAATATGAGTCATGGGGGATCGTCATCTCATTTCTATGGCCAAAAATAAACAATGAAACAGCCATCCACGAAAAGTTGAAAATTTTGAAATCTCTGGATTTCATATGGGAGTCTATATACATGTATATATAGACATATAAATACCACATAGAACTGGAAATACATGTGGGACATTGTGGAACTGTAACATGCTGCGAAACGATGGTTGCACCACTGGTGCCACGGCTGTCAACGTTTCACCAGGCAGCCTTCATGAAATGACATGCGATGCATGGCAGGGCGGGGCAAATGGAGAAGGTCAGGGAATGAACCACGGCAGAGGCGACGGCCCAAAGGACCTCAAAACAACGCGCGGCAGCATGCGGCGGCATCTGGTGGCACGGTGAAGAACTGGATTGGGATCTTGGAAAGTGGGAAAAGGGGCGATAACCAGCTTTTTGGCAAAAAAACGCACATCATTGACCAATTTGAATCATATCTTCTCAACCTTAAAAACAGCAATGGAGCCACGCGGCCAATGCCAGAGATCACCAGGTTTCCTATCATCTATAGAAAGTCAATAGGGATTTTCATGGTCAACCGCCAGCCATTGCCCACTCGTGTGTGCCAGCTTCAGCCTTGAAGATTTTTCCCTTCCCCTTTGACCAATAGACTTATATAGCATATGAGCAATTGGAGACGTGAATCCAAAGACTTTGAGCAAGGCCATTCTCACGCTTTTCAACCTTCAAAGTTCATTTGTATTAATCACCTTAAAGAAGATAAATGCTGGAGCCACCAGCCATGTTTCTTTTTGGTTTACCCACCCCTATATTTTCCGCCATCTTCCATCCGCTCCACTTCTACCGAGGCCTGTTCTTCGCAGGAGTAGGCGTCGGCCAAAGTATTGTCCAAGACAAAGAAGGGCGAGCACAAGCACAGCCTCTCCTTGGAAACCGTGCAGCGGATGTAGGTGTGGAGATGAATGGGTACAGGATGGTTTCAGTGTTTCCTAGGTTTCTTGAAAAGCGCCAGGCACCTATGAAAAGTATAAAGGGGGCGCAGCTTACTTAGAACTAGAAGTATGAATTTTTACGACGGCATCAAAAGGATAAAAGCATCATGGGCCGTATCAACGCAAATAAACACCTGCGATTACATGTGCTTATATATTATCTATATATATATATATCCATCCTTCCATTCATGGCCTACATACTGCACATATGCAACAAAACTCAGCTTAGCATGCCTTCATATCTTTGGGATTCTTTGGGCGGTACCTGAATTGGTACCTGAATTGGTACAGTACCATTTTTCATCCACCAAATGCGTCCGGGTGCTTCCCAATTCACGTCAACCTCCACAGGTTCCACGGGTTCCGCCGCGACGACTTTCTTCTTGGCCACAGATCCTGGCACCAAGTTGGGTCGGTCTTGGATGATTGAGTACCGACCATCTGGGAAACTCAAAATATGATGTTCAGCCATTGGTTTAAGGCAACATCTCTGTTTGAAACCCCAGGTATAGCCAGATATTTACTGCAAATGTTCCTTTCAGCCAACTCTGGGAATGGCAAACAAATCAGGAATCAAGGAGGCATGATTGGGTATGGGTCCAAACTCGGTAGCTGGCAGCTTATTTCAGCAGGGAAGGAGATGGGTGTAATTTTTTTTACAGGTCCCTGGTGTGGGTTGAATCTCGCAACATTTCGTGTGGCAAGGGTGGTCCCAACTAGCAGGGCATAGTAGGGTTGTAAGGGTACACCCTCTCAGGGAAACCCAAAAATAACGTAACATACCAAACAGCTGCGTCTACTCTTTCGAATCAGCTTCCAAGAAACAGGTTTTCAGCCTTTCCACGCCACCTGTCTTTACCATGGAGCAGCTGGGTTTCATCATCACATTGAACTGGAAAATAGCCCTAGAGGCATTTTTTGAATCCTGATAGCGTGTGTATATGTATGCAGTATGTATGTAGATACTATATATATATATACACTGTGTATATATAAATATATAAATATAAATAAATATATATATATATATACATATGTATGTATTTTTGTGTGTGTGATAGTTGCTTCTAGTCCAGTCTTGTTAATTGTGTTTCCATCTCTGTTCTTGTAAAATCAACGTCAATGCGTGTTTGGTAATACCATCGGTGTGTATGAAAATATCTGAATCTGGCAATCTGCTAATCAAACCGCCCATCACTGTATGAAGCACGAATCACAATGAGCTCGTCCTGATGCTTCGCCCTTCTCTTCATCCTTTGGGACGAGGCGCTTAGGAGGCGCTTTCTCTGGGTGTGCCTCTCAGCTGTCGCTTGCTTAGCGCTGCAGTGGTTGATCAACTTCTAGCAAAGTGGGAAGAACTAAGTCCCCTGAGATCAAGCACGGACCCCGCAAAAAGATAGAACGTTAGTCTTTGGAAAAGGATTGTCTTATACATTCAAAAATGGCGCAGTGTTGGGGGTTTCAGGTTTGATTTCAGAGGTAAAGCTTTTGTGGATCAAACAAAGCTGAAGTTTGTGAAAGATCAACTCCAGGATGCGCGGGAGATCTTGGGTAGAACAAATGTATGAGTTCGCTCCGCATTGTGCAATTATTTTAATCCTATCTATTTTCAGAAACTGTGCTGATTTCTCATCTTTGGGATTCCACTTCAAGCCTTTGGAGTCTCAAAACCATGCACTTTCATCCCTCCAGTGCCTTTTCCTGGATCTTTTTGGTGTCAGGTTTGATGGGTTTCTTTCCTGAAAAAGTGGGGAGGACTCCAGCGAAATGTCGGGCAACCACCATTTTTTGGGTCAAACTTGGGTACCCCGCAACTTGGGATCTCTCTTCCCTCTCTGCGGTTCTCAAGCCACGAAATTCCTGCGGCTGTTGCTGCCAAAGATCCTTTTTGCTTAGCCACTTCCCAGAGATTGTCGTTCTGAGTAATCCATACCTCAAGCCGCCACAGATGGATCAGGAACCATGTGGGTGAGCAGAACATGATCTCAACTGAGATGGAAGAAATTTGAAGAAAGATGATTTTGTCACTAGAAACGGAGATTTAACCATCTGAAATAAATATGCAATTAACTAGCAAAAGCAGGGATTCAACCATCCAAAGACGTGGATTCATTCCATCTCATCCTGCGATTCCTCCGCTATAGTTGCAATTTATGAGCTGACTGTCCGTATGCATACCACGCAGGGGCCCAATGCCATTTGTTCTGGGTTATGCATGGTTACAATCCCCCAAAACTGGTTTTACATTGTTACAAGTGGCTACACACATGGGCACGCATTGATTATACATTATGATATAAATGGCGATCAATGGTTGCAACTAGATATACATGTATGTCTTGAACATGGTTCTAGATGGTGAAAAACTATGGCAATGAATTGTTGCAAATCGTTCTGTAAATTCTTACGAAGCGGTGCCCCCAATTGTTCTTGTTGGTTTACAAGTCCTATGAGCTAGTTCGATATATCCTAAACCGCCTGTCAGTCCCCATGTTTGGCGGTGAAATTCCCGTTAAATCTTAATCATCAGCATTTTGATTGGTAAAACGGTTTGACCATAAACCACAGTTGATGAAGTTAAGCTAGTTTTAAACATTTATAAACCATAGTTTGCGATAGTTAAACCATAAATTATAAACTAAGTTATATCTGCCACAAAGCACTGCGAAGCACCTGGCAGGCGTCACCCCAGTCTGTCTGAGCCTGGGCCCATATCCAGAAACAGGGGCTTAATCAACAGAAGGTGAACATGAAAAAATAAACCCCACACACAGACATATATATATAGATATATAAAAGGGTTTCCCAAAATGTGGAATCCCCAAAACCATGGGTTGTAGTATTCAAATACTCTGATTTTGGATGATTTGCGGTAGCCCTAGCTAGGAACCCCCACATATGATACCACGCTGTTAAAAACACACTTATTTTATCTTATTTTTATATACCACAAGTTTAAATGTGAACTTAAAGAACAACACATGATAGTGGGGATACTGGGTTATAATGGACATTTCAAGCAACCAACATGCAGGGTTGGCCCCCGAAACGGTTGCTTAGTTTCTAAGTACTTGCTACGGTTCACCACCTTGTAGTGACAATAGGAATGCAACAATATTGATTCTCATATGTTCACTATAGATACTATCTGGGTAAATTAGAAGATTTCACCTAAAAACTTGCGGCCACCACTGGCGCATGATTCCCCATCAACATTCACCATGATTCCAGTGAGGGAGAACAGTGAAGTCACTATAACTCAAACAGATTCTATGGTGCTGCAATAATTATCAGAATTACGGATATGCAGTAGTGACAAATATGAAAAACACCTTGGAAACAAACATTGCCTGCATAGTTGCAATGTAAAACTCCATAGCGACAATACCATATGTACAACTTTGTACAACAGCAACCCAAAGCAATAATTTTCGATTGAATAAGCATGGTTCTCTTCCATTGCATGTTGACCACGTGAATAGCAGTGGCAGCATATAGATTATTTTCTATTCTCCCAGGTTAATAGGGATGATTTTATGGAAAAACAGGTTCATTCAAACAACAGCATTCAGATTCGTTAAATAAGAGTATGCCAGCAAACATGATGATTAGAGTAAACAGTTATTCCAAAAAATGTATAATGATATCAATACAGCAGTAAACCATAATAACTATGATAGCGGGGATACATCCACATTGACCATCTTTAGGGATGATCACCACAATGATAACAACACTCGGTGACACGGTAATGAATATATAGTAATAGAAACAATGCTAGATATATGGTGACAATATGTGACAATAACAGCAACAAGAATCATCATGTTTGCGGATTCCAGCCACTGTGTTGAGCCACCCATCCCCCAAAACAGGTCAGTCAACTGGAACCATCCTGGGATGGAATGGCTGGTGAAACTCCCAAAAAGTGATCTGTGAACATCATTGAATAAATTGGGGCCAACTAATTACTGGTTGGTGGTTTTAACATGTTTGAAGCATCTTGCAAAATATGAGTTTGTCAATGGGAAGGATTATCCCATATATGAAATGGAAAATAAAAAATGTTTGAAACCACCAACCAGTCATTGAATAAATTGCGGCCAACTAATGAAATCATCAGCCAGGGGGATAGCAAAATCCGGGACATTCCCCCGCCTCTCGGATCAGGAATTTCAGGATGGTGGAACAGCTCACCATCATGATCACAAAGGCCACAGCTGTCAGGAATTGCCTTAGCAAAAAAAATATTGGAGAAAGCAGCCACCAACATGGTCTTTTGATGGTCTTTTGCTGGCCCCCTCAGATCAATTCAATGACATTGGAACGAGCCCACCCAAACATGGGTATAACTCAAAGTGGGAGACTGAAAAAATTCCGTGCGGGTTTTGCTCAGCCCTGGCAACAAGAATCAGAAGATAATATATATATATATATATATGTGGTGATGACTTGTGGTGGTTGCGCCGCATGTGGCTCAAAGAGGCGCTCGCCAGTGATCCTGCAAAGATCAAACCACCAACCACTTAATTGATGGTTCCTGCTTCGGAATTGTTGTTCTGACCCACTAATGCCATTTTCAAATCGAATGTATAATTAGTAGCTGGGTGGACGTGTTAACTCCACTCATCAAATTCGATCAGGTGTGTTGGTCTATCCTTCCCTCATGACATAAGATACATATAGATACATAAGCACCCCAGAAACCTAGTGGAACAAAAACATGTAGAAAGCTGATCCATTCACAACTTTGGGATCGTCCGAGGGGCCATTCTTTCGATGGCTTGTAGTACTGCCATCCCAAGATGCTGTTCCACAACATGCCCTGGTGGCTTGTATGCCAATGGCCCCTTAGTGCAGGACAGCGTCACCAGTCACTGGGAAGCTGTTCAAAAGTGATGGAAAAACCATGGCAAACTCAATCTTGATGCTTTAAGGGTTCTGCAAACAGAAAGATATAAGATTCTCGTTGGTTTTGGGGTCGGTTGCTCTTTTTTTTGAGCGGCAGCATCGAAGAATCCAGCATACAGCAAGAAACGTAATCAAATGCCATGATGTGTGCTGTCCAGCCTGGGGCCGCTTGTTGAGCCACGCTTGAATAACAAACTGGCAACTCAGGTGAAATCACAGGAATCTGGCCAAGATGCACCAAATAGTTCCCGGTCCAAATCAGATCTTCCTCCTGCCGATGGCGTGGACTCGGCAAACAAGAGCGAAGTCGGACTGATGGATTATGGATGATTATGGAATGGGACCTAGAATGTGATATTGGAAACGTACGGCTTGTTGATTACCATGATATGATATTCCCCGTGAACATATAATCCCAACGGTCGTTTTTCCCAGCCGCTTCCCAATGTCAACCAGAAAATTTCTGCGGCGTGCCTCGACCAGAAAGTTGTTGCGCCTGAAGGCGTCCTCAAGCAATTTGAGGTACTCGCCTTCATTCAAGTCCTGTGGGACGGCGCTGAATGGATAATTAGGGTACCCATGGATCTACACATTTTGAAAATGCTGAGAGATATTTGGGGCCAATTTGACCAGATTATAGGGAAACCATCAGGAAACAGCCATTGTGAGTTCATATTGGGAACTTGCACGGAGGGCCCTGCAATCTGCTGAGACCAGCATCATCTCATCTTCATGTTCTTCCTTCATTTACTTCTCTTCCTACTTCGTCACCCATCGTCCTCTTCATCCTCGTCATCCTCCTCCTCACCATCAAAACCTCATCTTCATTTTCATCCTCCTCCTCCTCCTCATCATAATCATCATCATCATCGTCACCATCAGCCTCGTCATCATCATCATCATCATCATCACCACCATCAGCCTCATCAGCCTCATCAGCCTCATCAGCCTCATCAGCCTCATCAGCCTCATCAGCCTCATCAGCCTCATCAGCCTCATCAGCCTCATCAGCCTCATCAGCCTCATCAGCCTCATCAGCCTCATCATCATCCTCATCACCATCATCATCCTCATCATCCTCATCATCCTCATCCTCATCAGCCTCATCATCCTCATCATCCTCATCATATTATATCCTCATCACGAACCGCGCTAAAGCACTTCTCGTGTTCTCCCCAATGTTCCCTGCCTGTTCCACCAGCAAATCAACCCTCGCTGGCTTGGCCAAGCGAGCACTGAAGCTGAGCAATGGAATCCAACCGTCACGGTTCCTGCGGCCATGTCTTAAGGGTTAGGCGAGCTTTGGTGCTTTGGCGGATTGCGCAGCTAACAGCTAACCGACTGGCTGGCCACAACTGTTTCATATGATACATTTGCGTGATTTTGCGTGAATATGTTATAACCAGGGTTGGCCTATTTAACCAGGGGTTTGTGACGTATCCAAATGGGATCTTGGAAACTGTATTGAATTCTTCAGAAACCATATTGAGTTCTTCAGGAACTATTTTGGATTTGGGACAACTATGAGCTGTGACTGTGACTGAGGCTTAACTTATGCATCGGAATTTGCGCATGATATGTGCATGATACTTGGGAATGCTTTCCTACATCTGAATATTTCATACCGCCACATGGCTAGATACATGTTCCTGGCTTCTGAGCTTCTGAATGGCCGAGCATGCGCGGTTGTACACTCTACTATATTACTCAAAAAATGATAGATATTCAGTACTATAATGATTGTAGCAATATTTTTTTAAAATGTTATTGTTGCTTCTATCATACTAAACTGTTTTTCAATTCGATAACTTGACACCTTTGACAAGTCATAAGTTTGAAATCTGAATCGGAACTATTATTTTTCTTTTCAAAACAACCACGTATCATAACAACTGCACATTCTGAATTTTACATAAGTTGGATGAAATAACGTAACAAATCACACAAATTGTGATACGACACGACCTCGCTGGCAGAATGGGGTACGGAAAGCATTGACGACATACAACGCACAATGACAAGCAACATTTCATCCAAAATTGAACTCGACTGTACCCGCCTGAATCGTGAAGATGCCTCTGTTATAAACTTTTGACCATTCGCGACTGACATGATTGCTGTACGGTTTGTTACGACCTGTGATCTATGTGACATGTGAGGAAGAGCCATGAGCAAGGATGACGATGATGACCATGAGGAGGGGATGAGGATGAGGGTGAGAATGAGGACGAGGACGAGGATGATGATGATGATGATGATGATGATGATGATGATTTGCTGATGCTGATGCTGATGATGCTGATGCTGATGATGCTGATGATGCTGCTGCTGATGATGATGGTGTGGTGATGTGGTGATGTGGTTCAAAATTCAAGTTAAGGAAAGGAAACAACAGGTCAGATCGGAAGGCCAAAGTTGGAAGTTTAGAGTTTCTAGCTTTCAGAGTCGGCATGGGGCTGTTTTTGTTCACCCCCAACCACAGAACTGGCGTACCCCATGTGCTGGAAAGTGATGTTTAGATCCAAGCGGGGTGTAGTTGAAGATGTACAGAGGGCATGCGAATTTGAAGATTGATATTTGCCAGGCAGTTAGTGCATTCCAATATAGCCTGTGAGGTTCTCCATACAGTTCCTGAAGTTTTCCATATAGTTCCTGAAATTTTCCATATAGTTCCTGAGATTTTCCATATAGTTCCTGAGATTTTCCATATAGTTCCTGAGATTTTCCATATAGTTCCTGAGATTTTCCGTATAGTTCCTAGCCAATTTTTGCAATTTTCTGACCCCAGGAACGGTCGCGACGGTTTCTACGGTTCCATTTTTGGGCATTGGAGGGGTATGGTTGGCATGTGGCTTTACGGGGCCACAAATTGAGCCGGAAGAGCTTTGAAGAGATCCAGGGATAGAGAAGCCGTTTGGGCATGGAAAACCAGATTTGGAATTTGCCTGGTTTTTGGAATCGAGGGGCACGTTGATTTAATTCACGGGGCCCTCCTTCCCTGTGATGTTTTTTCCGGGTGACCCCCCGCAGCTACACCAAGAGCATCGATGATGCATTTCTTTCATCACTGGCAGGAACCAACTTGCAGATTTGTTCATGCTGCTGATTATTTCCATCCCACCCGTATTCTTAAAGGAATTTTGGGTAGGTTGTTGTGGGCTATACTATTTTGGCTATACCACTGAATGATGGTAGTTACTATATTTTGTGGCCGCACCAACTCATATATCAAAACAACTTTTAAAGCACGCTGTACACGAAAAACTTACAAGTTGTAGCTTTTAGCTGATAATTTGAAACTAACATGTTTTGAAAAAATATTTGGATCATAGATAAAACGAGACACAAACATATGATTTAGGGGTCAGGACCGTTCCGTGCTAAAAGGCAGAAACCGTCGCGACCGTTCCATGCTATATTCAAGATTACAGTCGGAAACCGTCGCGACCGTTCCATGCTATAGCCCTTAAAAAAAGGATATAGTCCGGAACCGTCTGCGACCGTTCGGAACCGTTCCTGGAAACTGCAAAAAAGATATAGTGTAGGAACCGTCGCAACCGTTCCACGCTGTATTCAAGATTACAGTCAGGAACCGTCGCGACCGTTCCCGCAAAACTGGATTCTTGCGTTTTTTTAGCCTAAATATATCAATATATATATATATATTTATTTTGCATTAGAATATGTGTATATATATATATAGTTACACACATATAATTTTTACATATGTTTTTTGTATACAATACATTATTAAATGTGTATACAGGTATATACATACGTTATATCATATCTTTTGAAAAAACTACCTAGTTATAGTTTAGAACATAAGCCGGCTGTTTAAGATTTTATGATTTCGATTCCAACATCATCAATGATCCCGGGGTCTGGGGTATGAATGCCCACATCTCTGTAAATGTTTGTGCCAGCTTAAAAGGCTGAACCTAAGTGCAATTCTTTCAGCACAACCCAGTCTTTTCAAGTTCCTGCATTTCTTTCTGTTAGTTCCAACATATTGGTTTATAGTTCCAATATTTTCTCATATAGTTCCTATATTTTCCCATATAGTTCCTATATACCCAGGGTGGCCACACACAAATAGGCCATCACTGGTTATAATGAATATGTCCTAAGGACTGAAATGTAAGAGAGTTGGACACATCGACTGGGTGCTGGGGTGAGTCATGCCAGCAGCCAAGTCATTTTATGTCACCTCCTTCCATGGCCGCAACCCGGGGGAAAGAAGAACATATTGTGTTCCTATGCTTCTGTCGATGTGGTCTTGCTGTTCTCTGTTGTTTCAGTTTGGGCATGTTTAGGCCATGTATCCAGGAAAATTAAATAACTGGCAAGGCTGCAAAACATTTCCCCTTCAGGACTCCAGGACTGCGTGGGGTTCAGTGGGTTACCCATGGCCCCTTTATGCCCGTTTGAATGTGCAGAGCTGCCGAATCAGGGAAGGGTACTGCATGGGGCCAGTTCAAACTGCCTGGAACATGAGTTTCTGGTGGGAAACATCTCTGAAAGCAGCAGGCAGCACAGGTCCTGTAAACTTCTTCACTCACGTACCATGTCATAACTGGCAGAGGTGACGGAGAATTAGGATGGACCTCCGCCTGAAGGGTTGGCTCAGGGACCTGAACTGATTTTGAGGAACCTCACATAGATGCAGGATCTAGAATCTATATACAGAAACTTCTTTTTTGTATATGTTCAGATGAGGCCTGCGTCCGCATACGGCATGGTACCTCCATTTCGGCTTAAAACCACCCTGCTCATAGAAATCATCGGGCAGAAACGCAAGGTGCCCATGGCCACTTTGAAACAATCAAAGTCTTGTAGACATGCATCATTTGCAAACAATAGCATCTTCCAGTGGGTCAAAATATATACTGAACCATCTGCAAAGAAAAAACCTGGCAACCACGTTTTGCGGGGGCCTGCCGCTCTTTCAAGTGATGGGGCTGCCCATTTGAAACCATCAACCCCCACGATTTTGGCGATAACATCTTCAACATTTGCGTTTTTTTCAATCTTTTCTGGGTCAACCCAACTCTCTTATTCTCAAATCTTCTTTCGGTGTTTTATCAACCGCCATTTGGTTCTCCTTTTTTGTGCTTCCCCGGTTTGCCCAGGGACGATCAGCGTCCGTTCCTTTGCCAAGTCTTTCGCCCATAAATCCTCGGCTGGCTATGGCTGGGAACTTTCCATTGCAACGCTTGATTGCCGGAGGGTATTTTTGAGGCACCTCTTCGATTTTAATTTGGGTTTGTCTGTATATATATATATAATGTCAACACCGGATTAATAACCCCCCCCCAGAAGGTAGGGGGGGTACCTTCTGACTGGTTTTCTTGACTACCCCTTCATAATAAGCAACTCTGAACCATAAACATTTGGATATGGCTTGAGTCAATAAGATCATCATAGAATTCCATTGGATTTCATAAGATTTGATACTTAAAACCTCCTGGTTGGGTAAACCAACAGATTCCTATGGGGAAGAATTTTAGATTAAAAACATGGATTTCCGAAGTGGTGGTTGATTAATCGGGGGTAGGCCCACCGGTTTATTAATCCTGGGGGACCACCTGTTTTTAAATTGCATTTTTTTTGGGGAGGAGGAGGTTGATAAATAACGGGATGTTGATTAATCCTGACTTGACATTATATATAGGGTACCTCAAGTTATAGCCATTCAATGCGAAACACTGATAAACCACTGGATTTTGGGGGTACCCTATTTTCAAACAAACGCGTTTTGACATGTGGTTGAAGAATGTTGAGGATGATCGGCCGGTACCAACAAATATTGATTCAGAAATTACACAGAACAAACACACATCAACACAGGTTGGTTGCTTGTTGAATGCCACCACTATGCCACTATATGACATACTATGTGTGGAATCTGTTCCGATGACCACCTCGCCACAGCCCGGCTTGATGATACTCACACAGGCCCACTTGGCAAAAAAAACATCGTGGAAGCTCTTGGGACATCTCAGCCTCTTAGGTTGCCATAACTTCTATCCGAATCATCGTCCAGCTAAGCAACCACAACCGATTCGTCCACCAGGCAATTTTCCTGGGAGAATGCTGGCAATGAACATCACCGGATCAAAATCACCGCTGAAATGGTCATTTCTGAAGCGTTGCGGTGGCGTGCCTCAATTGAGGAAATAATTGACGTGTGGTTCAACGTGCCGGTGACATTCGCTGGAGTTTCGTACCAGGCATACCTTAGCGCAACGGACTGGCGAATCCAACGGTTCAAGGCCAGCATGAGAAGTACACATAGAAGTTTGGCCTTTTTAGACCAAAGGCTTAATTGCCCTAATCCTTTGCAGGCAGAGAACATCAGATCTTCCAAACTGGCACCCTTCGTGTGCTCTCCCAACAGGTGGGCCAAGTGACTCGGTGGCCCACCAAATCTGCAAGTAGAGCAACGCTGAGGTGGCCGAAACGAAGATCAGGGCCCGAATCACGGCCAGGAAGCATCTCTTGCATCCTGTGCTGTCGGTTTCTTCGGATGGTGATGTGACCCGTTGGTGGTGGCTTCCTGAAAAACATTCGATGGGAATCATCATCCTAAGGGGAGAAAGTCAGAAATCTTTAAAACCAACAAGCGAGCCAAACAGGCTGGACGAATTCCACTTGAGCAATGCAGCTTTCACCTATCTTCTAAAGTTTTTTAAGAATCTCTGATGCAAACTCCCGCCCAGACTTCCTTCAACGAGCTGCAAGTGGCAAGGCCATGTCCAGATCTACTTTCAACCTACTTTCCAAGTTGGGTATCCCCAAAACACTGGGCTGCTGCCCCGCAGGCGGCCCTCCCAACAACAAGGACTTACTCGAGAACTAAAAGTCATTTAACAAGGCAACCCTCTTAGAAAGTGCTACTGTACTGGTGGTGAAGTTTCTTTCTGTTCCTTTTGGCTCCCAAGATATCTGTGTGATTCCAAACAGGGCCGCGCCAAAATCGAGCATCTGGAGACAGTTGGGTTCGACTTCAGGCGAATCTGCGTGATTTTCTTGCGATCCTCCTCATCCTGCAGCATCACAGGTTTTATGCGTCCCTCTGAAAAAGAGGAACAACAACACCCACCGGCCCCACATGTTTGCTGCTTAGGGCTTCGATTTTGCAGGTCAATCATGGTCAATCCCCCCAATTTTGGGCACTCCGGGCATAAATCTTCTGGGCTCCTCTTCATGACCCTCAGGATTTTCTTCTTGGGCCAGGGTGGTGTAGCTCTCTTTCATGGCTCCTCCAGCAACGAAACAAACACATACCATCCCGTACCATACCATAGGTATCCATAGCTTACGATAACACGCACACACACACATATATATATATAATTATACCATATACTTGCACACATACATACACTCACATATGTAACAATCATTATACATATGCGCGTTGCATATTATACACAAAGAAATGTGGAAATACATAGATGAAACAAACATAAGAAATAGATAGCTACACACATAGGTGTACAATGTATGACGTGTGTGTGTATATATATATATACATAACTATACAAAACGAAGAAGTGCATGCCTGTACCTACAGTATGATGCAGCATGCATTGATCATACAGGAGCCATGCCCGCACTTTTCCGGGTCTCCTGGGTGATCCCGTGGCCTATGTGGCCTTCTGCAAGGACCCGCGTTTGAGCCACTGCGAGACTGCGAGCCATGGGAGCCGGGGGCAACATCTGCAGCTAACAGCTGCCACAGTAGGTTCAACTCTGCGAGCGTGAAGGTTTTTTTTGCCTGGCTACAGAAGCTTTTTTGTCCAGGGATGGTCCCACCAATTTTTTCGTTGGATCGCCATGAGGATGAAGTTCCTATCGTGAAAATCAGATGGGCCCAGTTTCAGCAGATAGGACTCCGCACTGGGATGTTCATGTCCACCTTTACTGAAGCATAATTTAACTGAGGAGCTTTTGGTGCACCATGCGCGAGGATTTGTGATCCAAGAGCCCTGGACTTTCAGCGTTCTGAAGCCACTTTTAACACTTTTGGCCCCGCGAAGATTTTTATCATCAGCTTGTCTTGGTCAGAATTGCAGCCAAGGACCACGAAGAGGAAACGTACTAGACCCACATAAATCATCGGCGGTTCATATCGCACCTCTGATAACTCGTGGTTATGTAATTTTGCTCAAGGCCTGACATGGCAAGACATGGCAGCATCAATTACTGTAAGTAGAATAGGTGGCTCAAATTTTCTCCAGGTGTCAAACTTGATACACGCTTTAAATCACAGTGGTCTTGGAAGATCTGCTCACCATCCTTGGTATTCCGTGGTCCCCATGATTTCTAATCTGGGCTCCAAAATTCATTGCCAATCTTAGATACCCTGTAAAACGCACACACACATATATATATATATAGATTGTTAGCTGAGTGAGTAGATATTCCATGAAATTCCTACTTATAGCCGCAGATTAAAGGATTATTCGACCCATCCAAGGTTAATCTAGAATTGCCAGGGAGACAGGCGCAATGAAACCTTCCATTACCTGCATCTGACCCTTCGCTTGGCGGCCCATTCAGCGCGGCCAACTTGTAGCCAGGTACCTCGGTGGAGTTTCACCATGGTACTTTCCCACCCAAAAATGGGGGCCCAATATATATATATACACACACACATATATATATACATACCATTGTGAATACTGTAATATGTACTAATATATGAGATAAAGTATAATCATAGACAGTATATATGTACATCATAGTCGAATATACACCACAATTTCAACATGGTTAAATACCTGATTATAACTTGAATTGCAACCCCCGAAGTGCAAGCACCCCCATCTCAACATCCAGTAGCTGAGGGCGCCACTTGCACAGTAGGAGGACCTGGGCACTGCAATTTCAGGGCAGGTCCCCAACAAATATGAAGATAAGACGAAGAAACAATGTTCAGTGAAGTATTGGTCGCACTTAGGGCTTTTGAATCTTAATTGCCCATTGTTGTTGTTGTTGTCGTCGCCTTATGTGTCATAACATCTCACGAACCACAAAAATGACAGAAACCATTATATAGGAATTGCACCTTCCAGGGGTTCTTGCCGTGGCAAAGAAACTACGAAACCGCTGAGTGAAACCTCCTTAGGGTGGACCCCGCCACCAAATGAAACCCTGGGCCAAATCGATGGCAGCCCGAACATCCGAATCCTGTGGTTTTAGCTGACAATCTGGCACCTCGAAATCACATCTGTTTTCATGTTCTTTCCATGCCAAGGCCACTATTTTGGTGATTCCCACTTTTGGGGCAAACCTATGGGTCTTGGGCCGTTGAAGCTCCAAATTTGACTTATCCACACATGACAAAGCCTTTACAAGGTCCCTGGGCACCGGACGTTTGCGCTTGACAACATGCCCCAGGCAAGGGTTCCTGAGACGCCGCGGGTATAGCAACAGTGGCCAACCTAAAGGTTCAGCTCTTTCACCTCGATATGTGACCACCAGATTTCTGATTTCAAAGTGGCCATCAGTGCCAATACCAAAAATACAAAAAAACAATTTCAAAAGCACATCCGCATTCTAAAGATCCACTCTTAATCTGGCTTTGTCCAAAAGCAACTACAACTTGCCATACCTGGGTAGGGTATACCATTAACTAAAGCATGATTAACCCATGGTTCACCCCAAAAATATAGCATCATTCACCAATGTTTTCCCATTATCAACATCTATTAACCCATCATTAACCCATTACATTGCCAATCTTAGATACCCTGCAAAAAATTAAATTCTTTGCTGTTGAACGTAGATATTCCCATTAATACCAAAAGACTAGTTTGGATTAGTTTGTATCCATGTAAGATTGAGCTAGATTATTATCAACATCTATTAACCCATCATTAACCCACTATTGACCACTATTAAACCACGATTTTTCATATCTTCCCATGACATCCGAAATCGGGAGAAGTTCCTTACCCGCCCGGCCCCCGCCCCGCCGCCCCCGCCCTACCGGCCTCGGGCCGCCGTTGCCGCGGCCTGCGGGGGCCCTCCGGGATCATCAGCTCCCCGCGGGAGATGCGGAGCATGCTGATGTACCTGGCGCGGTAAAGAAGCGCGGTGAAAAAATGGAGGAAACATGCCATGGAAAATGGAGAAAATGCCATGAAAATGCCATTTATATCCATTTATACCATTGGAACTGGATTTTGAGATAATTTCGGATCAGAACATTGGGAAGCAGAACTGGAAGTTGGACATGAAGCAGGGAGATTTGACCGGCAAAACACATAAGGAAACATAGGTACAAACGGGCGAATGTCTTGAAAACCTCGGTGGAAACATGTGTCATCCAGCAATGGGTCGTTTCAAAGGAGATCTGGCGAAGCTTGGAAGGAAACTCAGCATCAGTTGTTGAAATTCTACATCCAAATGATGTTAAACTCTTAGGCCAGCTGAAGCCGCATTTTTTAGGATGAATCGTCACTAACACTAACCAGCATAATTTGAGTTGACTAATCGACAATCTTTGAAGAAAAAACACCTTGCCGCGAGATTGCGCCAAAACGCCTCAACCGAAACAAACAAGCAGAGCCAGTTGGAGGTGCAAATGTGGGTGGCCAGTTTTGGTGTCCATTCAAAGTAAAAAACAAAAGTGGAATTTGATAGAGTTTGTACTTGCAAGATTTTCAAATTTTGTACTGTATATCTTCTTTGCCACATATTATTGCAAGTTCTCATTTGCGATAATACAGTGCATCCGGTAGTTTAACAATTTGCTATGGATTGTCCGGCCCATTTATACCTATGATTTGCCAGACCGGTGATTGCCCATATATTAAATCTATTTAATTCTATTTATAATCCTCATTATATCTCCATTGCATCCCATTAAATGTCCTATGCAACGTCCAACCGCCCGTCTTTCAGCGAACCCATCGAAGCGCTCCATAGCCCAACAGCCACTTTTGCCGCCTCACGGAGCGATTCTGCTGTTCACTGAGCCATCGGGAACTCAGCATGCTGGAGCGACAAATAAATATACATAAATACTAAATGTTATGTTAGCTTGCAGCTACGTGAATTCACAATACTATAGTTATAATAAATATATATATACAAAATATGGCTCAATTCTATAGTTATTATTATACCAAATGCCATGTTGGCTTATGGTGATTATGAAGAACTATAGTGAATTGGATTTTCTGAGGCAAGCGTTTTAAGTGTACTAATCCCATCCCGCTCTTGAGAAATCCACCAATGGGGGCTATGGGGTATTTAAAGATTAAGATTCTGATATGGGATTATATAAGGGATATTGATATATGAAATATCATTTTAATAAATATATATATATATATACGTGTGTATATGCATATGTATATGCAAATACATACATAAAAAAATATCTATTATATATATATGAAATTTCATTTATCTATTGTGTATATTTGGGTATAGGATTATGTCAATTAACAACGTCCATTATCTGGTTGGTTCTGCCCCCTCGAACAGGCATCGATTCTGGGATTATCGTCCCGGGGAGCATGGAACACAGCCAACAGTAAGCAGTTTGTTAGTTATTTATATATTCCCGGAATAGCGCCATATGATTATACCGCTATTAATTGATTGCTGTTCAAACATCCGATTGTTGGTTATATCCGCATTATACCATACATACCCCATCAGTATTCATAATATCATAAGTGATATATACACTGAATATTTGCAAGTTGTACCCCTCTGGTAAACTAACAGAACAATGGGAAATAATATATAGTTCTAAATAGGCAAATCAACTATTTCCATGTCCATTTCAATTCAATAGCTATGTTATTTTATCAGAGGGCATATCCCATTATCATCCCATTATCCACCATTGTTAACCCATTGTTAAACCACTACATCACCGACACAAGAGTAAATCACCATCAAATCACCATTTATAACGGTTAAATCACCATTTTCCTATGGTTTCCTACGGTTTACCATCATTTTCCTATGGTTAAATCCCAGTCAATGGCCGTAAAGACTTTGGTGAAAACCTCCGATTTGCACCAGCCGAAACCCACCTTGCACGCGAGCCTTGGCGAAATAAGCCACAGGCCCCGGGCTTGAAACTTTCTTTAAGAATCCCATCTAGTGGTTAAATATATAGGGGTCAACAATACTGCCTTCCCATAGTCATGGTCCAAAAATCCCATTTTGTAGATTTGGCTGTTTTCTTCCCATAATAGTGGTTAATAATGGTTAATACATGTTAAGGATCGATGCCTATTAAATCCCATCCCCGCTTCATTTTAGATGAAACAGCCCCCATTCTATCGCCCCACATATGCGTTACTCGCTTACTAAAACTATGGATATAGTGGAAAAGAGTTATTGGTGACTTAGAATGGCACACGCACACACACACATATATATATATATACACCATCTGGTTATTTAACATAGCTATGGACAATCCCTTATAATTAAATGGAGGTTTTAATGGGAACATCATCTGTAAATGGGTCATTTTCCATAGCTATGTTAAATAACCAGAGGGTATGGAATTTCGTTTATCACCCGCAAGGGGAAGCTATGGAATCTAGAGTGGAACACCAATGAATCCCCAAGATTTCACGTGGGAGATGCGAGAAAAAATCCAAGATCCAATGGTTTATCATCCATCTCCCCGCGGTACTTGTCATTTTCTTTCCATACTAATGAACGAACATATTTTTTGGCATTTATCATGATTAAAACTTCATGATTAACATACTAATGATTAACTTTCGTATAATGAAGTTTGATCATTAAAAACAAATCGGTTCTTTAAAATCCTGACTAAAACATGCTCAATCCCAATCCTATTTTTGTTTCTCTCACCATCTTATTCAAGACTGCGTCAAAAAAAGCCTTCACTCGAAAAATGTAAGGCAACGACTGCAAGACGTTTAGGGCCTTTACCTCATATTTACCATCTGGTTATCCAATATAACTATGGAAAATGGCCCATTTATAGATGAATTATGACTAAAGGTCTCAACCCGTGCTCGCATGAATTTTCCAGGCCCCCACGCCCAACCGCCCATGGTCAACTCCACCCAACCTTCCCAGGCGCGACCTGGGCGACTCGAGCATTCCGCCAAGGTTTTGATGTGGGGGTCATATGATCCGGGGAAGGGATTGAATGATTCAAACATGATTCAACCCCTCCAAGGCTGAAGGAGTTTATAATTGTAAAATATTGTAAAGGTGTTCGGTATCGCCTTCGGGACCCTTTAAACTGAACAGAGAAAACACAACTGAACAACATCATGCAGTATCAGATCGATACGCCATGTCCGCTGTGCAGCTATGCCCCATCTTTCTATGTGCAGTCGTTAAAATGATCCGAATCCAAACGGTAGCTCTAGATATTCAACAAAAAAGATACGGAGCTCTGAAACCAGGACATATTGGGTCCAGAATATCAAATGACATCTCTGAAAAAACCGTTCAATGTATTTTTATCATATCTAGCTGGGGTTCCTGCGCATGCCTGCCAGGAACTATAACATAATCCTTTGCTGACCGGTCTGGCCCAAGATATATTATTGTTGTCAACTCATCATGAACCCAGCTCAGCATGGATCGCAAACAAACTTCTGAAACCACTTGGGGGTGCAGTACCAGTGAACTAAGTGGACATAATATGATATACCATCTGGTTACTTAACATCGCCGCTAGCCATGGAAAACTCTTATAAATGGAGGTTTTAATGGGAAAATCATCTGCAAATGGGCCATTTTCCATAGCTATATTAAATAACCAGAGGGTAATTGTTATCAGGGCCACAGATCCCAACTGGGGATGAACATCACATTGACCTGGTCAAAAAAACATTTTTCTTCACCCGAGTCCTAGACCCCCCAGGGGCCAACCCTCCACTGCAGCACAGCCGCCTGTGGTGTAAACCACCTGGTCATATGTCGCTTGACCTACAATCTCTGAAGCTGTGCTTGGCAAGGCCTGGTATGGCGTACCGCTTGAAGAGTGGGTCCATCAAGCAACCGGAAAGCCTCCAAACATTGAACTTTTGACCAACAAAAATGGTGGTAACTGGGAATATCATGGGAAAAAAGGGGGGTATAACCAACAAGTGGCTGGTGGTTTCAAGCCATCTCATATATGACGTAGTCCTCCGCAGTCGCAACGATCATTGGGGATGATCAAACATTGAAACCACCGGATGCTGGGGCAGTAGAATATCCCATCTGAACATCACGCAAATCATTCACGGAGTCATCTTGAAAAAAACAATCTAAAATTATGTTCAAACGTGGCCCCAAGGTTGCCTGATTCGAGGGTTATGAAGTCCCATCAACGCCTTTAGGGGCTTCATGTGTGGGAGACCTTTAGATAAAACCAGCTGAACCACCACGGAAATCTGAACCAAATGTTGTTGTCACTTTGTATTTCATATTTCCGCTTTTCTGGGTGTCGTTATCAGATCTAGTATGAATCCCAGTCGACTCTATCCTTGGATTGGCATTTTAGGATGGGGTAACGGGCAAACACCTCCAAACGCGAGCCACAGTCAGGTGGATCCAGATTTACCTTTGACATCTGACATCCTTTGACCCATTCTCCTTGTTCCCCACCAATCCAACACCAGCATCTCTTGCTTTTCGGCATCATCCGCTCTCGAACTCACCAGAACTTGCGCCAGGTGCATCCACCAGAGCTTTGTCCAGCCAGAACTTGCTGCTGCTCACCTGGGAGTCACCGGTATAGGGGCCATCAAAACTTGATTAGAGAATATCATGGCTAAGATGATAGATTGTTTTAGATACCTATTAATATCATGGCTAGGATTATCATGGCTTTTAACTTGATTAGGGGCCATCAAAACTTGATTAAGAGGTGATTAATTGTTTTTAATGGTGATTCATAGTTGTTGATGGATGTTAATGGGATTTACCCTCCCGTGTTGTCAACCGTGGCTGGAAAGTCCCCTAAGAATGGAGGAAAATCATCTATGAATAGGGGATTTTCCAGCAAACCACATTTGATTACTGGGGGTATTGGCATATACTTCCCATGACCTGGGTAAACTAATTATGGTTAAGAACACCATACAATAAATGTTCAGAACATTCACCAAAAGTAATAACATATATCAGGTTTTGTATAAATGAAATGCAACAATCATATAGATCATACAGCAGAATTCAGAAAAACCATCTGAGTCAACAATTTCGGGCTCTAATTCCAAGCTGCCAACAATCCCAGGCACAATTTCGGTGTAGGGCGTGGTGGTTTCACTCAGCAAACTCTGCACAGGCTGTGACGCCACCATGGGCACGGCCCGTGACAGGAGGCCAGCGGCAAACTGCGCAGCGGTGTAAGGCAGCGCCCAGAGACCTTTGGGCGGCAGCTGTAGTAGTTTCCACAGTGCCAGACCCTCTGGCTGTCGCAGCTTAGAAAATTCTTCGCCTCAATGGGGAGACTCCTGAGACATTAAAGAAAACCATGGGGTGGAAATCACATTTCTTAAGGGAAAATATGGAAACACCTTTTGTGAAACGAGGCCGGTTTTTCCCTGTCAGATCAGATTACTGGAGGATAGTTCACCTATGCTCACCCCTCACACTCTGTGCTTCCCTTGTGGCTTAGTCTGCTCCAGAAGCGAACCATTGAATGACCAGTGATGACCCAACATTTGTCGAGCTGCTTTGGGGCGGGTGACTGGAACCACTGGAGGAAACACTTGAGACTTGGACCCAGGAAAACCACAACTGCAGGTGGGTTCGGTGGTTTCAACCCCACTTGAAAGACACTATTTTAGCCAGGAACACTATCTCTCAGATCGTCAGGGGCATGGAGTATGGCAACTGGTTGGAACCACCAAACAACTTTCATGTGGATTCAACCAATGGTGACAGGACATGAAGGGCTTGTCCACCAACAACCACCAATGGAGTATTGCGATCTCCATTTTTCCAGGTAAATTGTAATGTTTAAATTTCATTAACCTGAAACTTGCCATTGTATACTCTATATATGCATATACTATATTAATATTTACACACACACTCTCTCTCTCTCTATACATATGTAAATAAATAAATAAATATATATATATATATTGGGATACTTGCCCCAAGCCGATCCCCAATTTTCCCCCGAAACGAGACACCCACATCTTGTACCACGGACTTCTCCGGCGTGGTCGCTTGGAGCAACTTATCCAGCACAACAGCATCGGTCAAAGCGCTGTTGGCACCTTGTCCCAAGGTCCCACCCGTGGAATGCGCCGCATCGCCAAGCAACAAGGCTCTTCCTTCCTGAGATGACAGATTGCACCCCATGAGATCCCATGAAATCCCCATGAAATTCCCATGGAACCAAAATGCAACCAGGCACAAGATCGCGTCAACAGCCAAAACGTTTCAAGATGTGTCACTCATAGTCTGACCTAAGTGGACTCATCCTCTGACGTTTTTCGTTTTTGGGGGACTTTTTTGAATTACCCTCTAGTTATTTAACGTAGCCATGGAAAGATCCACCATGCTATTAATAGGTAAACCATCTATTTCTATGGGCCATCTATACCATGGCTATGTTAGTCATAACCAGATGGTATTCTAAATTAACGGTGGGTGTTTTGGAAAACCCAACCCTTGAACTGGAAACATTGAGCTCTGAGGGCCCCATCTCAATATCTGACGACCGTACTGTTAAGCCTTCCAAGCAAATGTGCTGAACAACTCTATGGTTCATCATACTATGCTCCGCAATTTCTTGGGTATCCCCAATTTTCAGTCAAACCCAAATGTCAAGTTGGTGATATCTCATGATATCTTCCATTTCCCTAGTATATTCCAGTTTTCTCCCAATTACATCCCGATTACAAGTCGATTGCCCCAGTATCCCCATTGAATCCCCATTCTATTCCAAAAGGATGGCTGGTTTCTATACCGTGGTTACAAACAATCTTATGATAATATAATAATATACAGATCATACGTACCCATCAGCTATATCCCAATGTCTGTAGAAATCACCCATGATATCAAATAAAACACACAACAATGTGAGAACATACGCATAAATATGTCCAGAACGCATTCCAAGATACCCCTGGTAAACATAGAAATTGAGTTTGCCCACCATTTGAAAATCATTTTCCTCGTGTGTTCCCATGTTTTTTCCACAGCTATGTAAATGTAAACGTTTACCCAAGATTAAAGAGCACTATATTGGGTATAGAAACAAATGCACATATAAATGCAGATATACATCAACCGCGCACACACACACACACGCATACATATATATATATATACACACCACACACACATATCCATCTATCTATCTATCCTTCCATTCATCCATCCAAATATATATATATATATATGTATGTATATTCACCATATATCCATATATATAAATATATATATATATGCCATACATGCCAAGATATGCCAAGCATCCAAGTCATGGTACCTGTTGGCTCTCACCGTTGTGGCCTTGCTGGGCCGCTGCTGCCGCAGCTGCGCCACGCTCTCCAGCGCCGGGGCTCCAAAGGACGGGAAGTCCTGCTGCAAGTGCTGCGCGATGGCCTCGTCGTCGTCCTCCAGGAAGGACGGGGGACCTGGGTGACGCAGGAGTTGATTTAATGGGATGCCAAGAGATTTCACCAACCAAATTGGGGATTTTATGGGGATTTAAAAGATTTCACCCGTTATAGCCCTATTAGCCTCCAGTAAATTAACATAGACCCTGCCACATGGGGGTTGGAAGATAGTTTCCACCAAGAATTGGCTATTTTCATCTATTTTCAGGGCCTAGGTTAATTTGCCAGAAGGTAATTATCCCAAATATTTTAAGGCAGCCGATTCCCCCCCGAAAGCAAGCGCGATACCCAAGGCACTGTCGTTCCAAGACAGGATGGTACACAAGCGTCCATCCACCCGAGGGATGGAAAATAAGGTGAGACCCTTGGAACTCATCGCATGCACTGCCAAGGGATCTAAATTGCTGGGACATGGTCCCACCCAAACCTGGCACTGTGCTGGAACAAGGCAAAATTGGGAATGGTTGGGTAGTGTGTGGGACATTTAAGATGGGTGCGCGATTTTTTTGGGGGCGACCATAATTGGTAGATTTTCACCTGGCAGGCTCAGAAGTCATCCACCAAGCGTTTACGCTCCCATGATCTGGTACTTTCACCATTTGCAGGGGCCGTCGACGTCTGATTGTTTCCGGAAAACGTAGTTGTATAGTTTCCAGTAAATTGGCAATTTACATCAAGTTGGAATACTTATGTCACTTATGTCATCCACAGTGAACTTGCATCCTAAAATATATCTGCTGTCAACTGCTCTCAGGGATGAACATGCTTACTATATCCTGCCCCCCTTTTCATTCAAATTCAAAACAAGTTCAAAAACCATCTATGGTAGCCCCCAAAACACATAGAAAAGTAGAATCCTGCTAGATTAGTTGTCTATCTTTTGGAAGGTTGCTATACATTAAACTGGAATGATGTTTAATATGGTCGGCTCTTGTCGTTTACTTTGTGGATTGACTACATTACCACTCTCAGAAGACCCAAACACATCTAAAAGTAAAAAGACATAAAATCACACTAAAAGCACTAAAACAATTTAAAGCCGTGGTAGCAGTAACACTAAAATTTTTTAATGCTAAACGCAAATAAAACCACGCTAATGGGAGGGCTAAATCCTATTGAAATCCCATTCAGATCCCGTAAGCAACCTTCCATCAGCACCCCATTACATCTCATTAAACCCCAGTAACGTTCCATCAGCATCCCATTCACACCCCCTAACATGTTCCCCTAAAAATCCAGAAGCATCCCCTTAAAATCCTCTAAAAATCTAAAAGCAATCCCATTTACCCATTGCATCCCATTGCATCCCATTACATCCCATTACCCCACCTTAAAATGTCCCTTCAAAATCCATAAGCATCCCATGAAATTCCACTACCATTTCATTAAAATCACCTAAAAAATCCGTCAACATCTCAATAATACATCCCATGAAAATCCCTTAGACATTCCATAGACATCCCATTGATACATCCCATTCAATTCCCTCAAAATCACCTCAAAATTCACAAGTCACTAACATGCCATTCGTTCCCCTCAAAAAACCATCAAATCCATCAACATCTCAACTTTGGGATACTTCCCCATACCTAGCCTTCAAAATTCTAGTCACATCCCAATTTTACCGACGCTTTCCCCGCCTTGAACTGCCCCGGCAGATCCACCGCGTCGCTCCGAAAGCCCGCCGCGGCCATGGCGCGGCGCACGGCGGAGTTCACGCCGTCCGCGCCCAGCAGGTCGTCGTAGCGGACCGCGGTGCCGGCGCTGGTGAGGCAACGACGGGAGGTAAGGTCCACCTTTTCAACCCGAAGAGTGGGGGTTAACCAGCTAAGCCAAAACAAAAGGACATTACCCATCATTATCCCATGCTTATCCCATTATCACCCCATAAATATCATGGAAAAGAAATGATAAAAACCACTAGAAACCAGGGGTGTTTCGGGCTGGTTTCTTTCGCCAACGGCTTGGTTGGCGCTGCCTCCTTTAACGCTTCTCCGAAGTGCAAGCTGAGCCTTGACCCATGCCGCTCTTGGAGGTCCTGCGATATATCTAAGCATCAAATCTTGGGTAACAATTCCCAAAACACGTTGCACATGGAAAACAAAAAGACATAGGGACATTTGATAGCCATTGAATATGGAGATTCAAGAATCAAAAGGCTTGGCCAGCAAATTTTTAGTGGAATTAGAATTCAAGCAAAGAAGCTTGAGAATCTAGTAACAACCAATCAAACATTGGAATGTAACGAACACATGTGAATTTAATGTCCAGGGAAAGCTTGGAGGAGCCCCGTGAGTTACTAAAAAAAAAGGTTTCGGGTAAATGCAAAACCTGCAGTTTCCATTCATGTATGTCTGGAAAATCTGTCATAAAGCTCCAATTCACTAGCGGATTTCATCAATTTTACTCAGCATGGCCAGCCAAAGTCTAGTCCTCCAGCAAAGCAGCGCAGAGATCGTTACGTCCAATCAGCAGTGTGGGAACGCCCCCTTCGCGATTGGCACGTAACTGCAGCTGGAAACCTGCCGCTGCACCGCCATCAAGCTATACGAACATGGCTGGTAAATCTCCAAAGTTAACTGGCATTGAAATGTTTGATTACCGAGGGGTACGTTCTTTAGCTAGTTCGCCTGTTCCGCCATGTCAACCTTGGACTACGTATGGCTATAGGAAAGTCGGGTTGGTTATGGACCCCTAAAGCAGTGACATGTTGCTATCAAACCTGGGCCGCCTGCGAACCTGTCGTTGGTCCTGGTCCCACTAAATGGCAGTAAGTAGGCATGGCAGTCCCAAAATCTCCTAAAGGATGGAAAACCGAGTGCACTGGTCGAAAGCCCCAGCCAGTTGATCGGCTCTACCCCCAACGCCGCTAAAAAACACTACCCGAAACCAGTCACAAAGAAAACTGTTCGGTTTTAGATAGCCATCGAAACATCATCATCAGGCACATGATCTCCCCACCCTTTCTGCACCTCCAAGGTGTAGGAAGAACTTGTCCGACAAGACGCCCTCCAGGGGAAGACTAAGTTGTCAAATGATTGATCTGAGATGACTTCTGCATCCCGTGCAGCCAGGTCAACCCACGAAAAGAATCCAAAAGAGCCTTCATCAGCTTCACATAGATGGATTATAGATCGATAATTCGATAGATAGACAATTAGATAGACGGATAGCTAGCTAGATAATTTAGATACTTTAGATTCGATAGATAGATGGATGGATGGCTGGATGGATAGATAGGTGAATACCTGCCACCACTTGGATGGATCACCAGGACCCAGGCCACTCCCGCACCTTCGCAGCCACGCGCTCCCACAGCCCAGGCCAGTGTTGTAAGGCGCTGCGGCCACGGATGTTGAGCCCCAGGGAATAGGCGCGAAAACCACTGATTTGCTCGCTGCGAGGGTCGCCTGCATGAGGAAAAATCAATATTCAGAAAGATCATCTGTCCCTGGGTAGATCAACATCAACGATTATAAGCTACAATCACATATACATATATATAATTAGCTATAATTAGCTATGATATAAATGTCATTAAGTGCTATGAATTAATTAAAGGACCGGATAACCCCACATGTTACCAACTTCTTTAGACTTAGACTGACCATAGAAGAGCAAGAAGGGAAGAGGAAGTATAAGAGTGATGGAGCGGTGATGGTGGGTGAGTTTGTGTGTATGTATGTATGTTCATGTACACAGAAGTGAGTGATTCAAAATCCAAGTGATGCGAGTGTGGTGTGTGTGAGTGAGGGATGTGAGAGTGAGTCTGCAAAGTGAAGTGAAGTGAAGTGAAGTTTTTCCTGCCCAACCGAGTGGGAAAACACACGTACCGAGATCCCACTGAGTTTCAATGATGAAGTCCCAAGTTTCACCTAAAAAATTGAGCTACTTATGTAATCCCCATTTCTTTGTTCCCTTGAAACGTCAAGTTGGTTATGCATCCCATCACAATCTCCATGAAAAATGGTCTCCATGGAGATGGTGGCTTGGTTTAACACCGTCGACTATGGTTATAGCCCCGTAGTCGACCCAAACGTTAACCAAGTCATGTGCGTCAACTTAGCTATAAAATAAATCAGCTATAAATCCTATTAGATCACCATACTTAATGGTTAACTCACCATTCTCCCATGGTTTTTCTCATGGTTTTTCCGCACACGGGGGCTTCATCATCTTGTTCAGCTTTTCCGCCCAAAAACTCGGCGATCGAATCGCCTCGCTTCTCGAAGACTTCCACTTCCACGTCAGGTCGGTGATCCAGGATGCTCCTGGCCGCCAGCAGCCCAGCTGGTCCAGCACCGCTGACCACCACCTGCCACCGCGGCAGCCTCTTACCGAAGGCTTTCACGATAACAAAAGATAACGAAAGGTATACCCGGTGCAATGACGTTGTGAACCTTAAACAACATCTGTAGGAAACAGTCAAATATGTATATATATATATAATATATATATATATACACATTTGTTGCAACTAAGACTAAATAGTCCAATAATAATAAGACCGAACATATCTATATGTACTATCATACATAGTCCCATTATTTATCTATTCATGTATGACATATATATATATATATCTATAATATTATCATATGCCCAGTACTGGAACTCGCCTTGGCAAATGCGGGCCCTCCCACGAAGGCAGATGCCATCGATGCCGCAACGGCCAGCAGGGCACCATGGGAGACCTCACCATGGGATCCTGGTGGGGAAAAAAGTCACCCCGATGTCGGAAAATATGGAGAACCCTCTGGTAAACATACAAAAAACAATGGAAAATCACCGTTTTTAATAGGTAAATCAACATCAATTAACTATTTCTATGGGCCATTTTCAATAGCTATGTCAAACTACCAGAGGGTAAACATATGATAAACAAGACCTTTCGATTCCAGAACTTATCCAAATCTGATCAACATGTACTTTTCTTGCGGTTGAGCCAAATCACATTCAAGTTGTTTTGTGTTTGACTCTGCTTCCCTTAGGGGTTGCATAATATTGCATCATATTTGAGATTGTTGAGGAGAACAGTCGCTTTGCCGATAGATAGATAGGTATATAGATAGGGATAGATAGATAGATAGGTAGGTAGATAGACAGATAGATCGATAGAGAGATAGAACGATAGAACGATACAGAGATAGCTAGATAGATAGATAGCTAGAAAGAAAGATAGCTAGATAGAAAGATAGATTAGATAGATAGATAGATAGATAGATAGATAGATAGATAGGTACATAGATAGATAGATAGATAGATGGATAGAAAGATAGATAGATAGAGAGAGAGAGAGAGAGATAGATAGATAGATAGGTACATAGATAGATAGATAGATAGATAGATAGATAGAGATAGATAGATAGATGGATGGATGGATGGATGGATGGATGGATGGAGAGATAGACAGATAGGTAGATAGATAGAACGATAGACAGATAGATAGATAGATAGATACATAGATAGATAGATGGATAGATAGATAGATAGATTAGTTAGATAGATTAGTTAGATAGACAAATAAAGAGATCGATCGATAGATAGATAGATAGATACAGTAGATATATAGATAGATAGATAGATAGATAGATAGATACATAGATAGATAGATAGATAGATAGGAAGATAGATGGATGGATGGATGGATAGATAGATAGGTAGATAGATAGATAGATAGAAAGACAGATAGATAGATAGATAGATAGAAAGGTGGATGGATAGATAGATAGATAGATAGATAGATAGATACATAGATAGAAAGATAGATAGATATATAGAAAGATATAGAAATATATATATATATAGAAAGATAGATAGATGGATGGATGGATAGATAGATAGGTAGATATAGAAAGAAAGATAGATAGATAGATAGAGAGTTAGATAGATAGAAAGAAAGATGGATGGTTAGATAGATAGACAGAGAGATAGATAGATTAGATTAGATTAGATTAGGTTAGGTTAGGTTAGATTAGATTAGATTGGATTGGATAGATAGATAGACAGAGAGATAGAGAGATAGATAGGTAGGTAGATAGATAGATAGATAGATACATAGATAGATAGATAGCTAGATAGCTAGCCAGCGAGCTAGCTAGATAGATAGATAGAAAGAAAAATAGATAGGTACATAGATAGATACATAGATAGATAGATAGGTAGATAGATTAGAAAGATAGATAGATAGATACATAGATAGATAGATAGAAAGATAGATAGGATAGATAGATAGATACATAGATAGATAGATAGGATAGATAGATAGGATAGATAGATAGATAGATAAAGATAGATAGATAGATACATTGATTTATAGATAGATAGATAGATAGATAGAAAGATAGATGGATGGATGGATGGATAGATAGATAGATAGGTAGATAGATAGATAGATAGAAAGATAGATAGATACATAGATAGAAAGATAGATATATAGATAGATGGATAGATAGATAGATAGATGGATGGATGGATAGATAGATAGATAGATATATATATACAAATATAAAAACAATCTATCTATCTAGATCTACATGCCTTCACGCATATGATCTTCCCTTTTCCCTTGGGTGATTGTCCATTGCCATGGTGGATCATGGTGGAGTTCCCCTCTGGGTCCGCGCCTTCTTCCTTCTTCCAGGCGATGCGAGGCATCGCAGGAATGTGGCGATCATGAGAAGATTTATACTTCATTTCTGATTGATATTTTGGTGGAACAGTAGGGTGCAACCTGGGGTTCCCTTGCTGCTCAAAAATGCAAGTACCAAAGGAAGGCCGTCAATTCTTACATCCCGGACTTCAAGGATCTTGACTGGGTGGTGGTTTCAACCCCTCTGAACAATATGAAAATCAATGGGAAGGATGACATCCCATACATGAAATGGAAAAAACATGTATAAAAAATGTTCCAAACCACCAACCAGTTGATGATTCCATACATCTCATGCTTCAAATTCCTTTTGGCAACTGGTTCATGCTCTCATGGTGGATGACTTCCATCACTGAGACCTCTCCGGCTTAACATGCTGCTTGAACAGCAGAGGTCCGCAGTCGCACATGGCAGTACCCATTGAAAAAACTTTTGTACATGGTATGACATAGATATTGTAACAATTTGTAGATAGAGATAGATAGATAGATAGATAGATAGGTAGATAGGTAGATAGGTAGATAGGTAGATAGGTAGATAGGTAGATAGGTAGATAGGTAGATAGGTAGATAGATAGGTAGATAGATAGATAGATAGATATAGATATAGCAATACACTTGCAGTATCTGAGAAGTAACCACAACCACCGGTCCATTTCCGGCAGCAAAAACATGCCATTTGGCACGGAGACGAAGATGCCCGGGCTCCATACCACCCTGGGCCCCAGACGTCAAGGTTTACCCTCTGGAAATAGTTGATTTCCCTATCGAAAAATGGTGATTTTCCATAGCAAACTGTTAAATGACCAGAGGGTAAACCTCATGGAAAATCCTTAATTTATGGGATTATGGTGATATATTCCGATGATATGGAGTTTCCTAAGTCATGGGGCTACCCCCACAAATCATGCATATTTTAGATTGGGATCTTCCGACTTCCTACCATCCATAAACTCGAGGATCCCCCATTTACGGAAACCCCCAGATGATGAATAAAATGATACATGTATAATATACATATATGGGATATGAATTATGAGGTGCCAGGTGCCACTTGTTGGTGCAAATTTGATTCAGGACATTGTGACATGATGTTTTCCAATTTGTTACGAGGCATGAGGCCACATTTCCACGGTCCCAGGTGGCAAATCCGTCTAGGGCTCAGCCTATCAACATAGAAAAACAAGGATGTTAAATCTTGGAGATGTTGGCTATAACTATAACATCCATACTACATCAAGAATCCGTAAAAATAAAATCCTTGATTTCCAGCTTATGAACTTCGGTCATAAATATGATCCAACATCTCAAAACGATTCAAAATGTTTGTTTATCCTGTCCCCAACAAATCCCCTCCAAAACAATCCTAATGTCGAACCCGCGCCGCTAGCCCAAGTCGAGATAGCACAAAATCCAACATCTCAAAATGTTTATCCTGTCCCCCAACCCCCCCCTGCAAAACAATCCTAATGCTGTGAAAAGGGGGTCAAAAAGACCAATTTTGGGCACCTCATTTTTGACTCAATTTTTCGTGGAAGGCTTTAGCACTAGCTAAACAATCCCTAAAAGCACCTGAGAGAATGAAAAAGTTACAGTAAGCCATGGTTCAGCAATAGAATCCACATGTCCCTACATGAGGGTACTGGCTTTGGGCATTTTCTAGTTGGCCCCAAGCTTCAATTGAAGGATGATATTTGCCAACCCCAATCCATTTTTCACCCCACGCAAGAGTCATCATCAGCAGCGAAAAGGGCTTCAAAAAGGCCACTTTGAGACACCTCATTTTTGACTCAATGTTTTGTGGAAAGCTTTAGCACTACCTAAATAACCCCCAAAAGTACTTGAGAGTATGAAAAAAAAACATGGTGCAGAAATATAAAAATCACCAAACTGAAAATGGCCTGCAGGATCATCATGCTTATGTATTGTAACTATTTTCGCATATGTTCGCTACGATTTGGGAGTGCTGAGAATGACCTGACACCTGCAGCACACATTGATCGCTGCGGCGTTCAGCAACATTGTGAGCTGCCAAGGTTGCAGTGCAGGTCCAACAAAAGGTGCACAATGTTGCAATGATCAAAATCTCTACATCATGACTTTCTCATCATAGAATATTGAACATATGACATGTTTTTTGATGTTTTTCAGTGAGCCATTGCGATTGTGATTTCAGTTTTTTTCTTATTGGTCAAGGTGCAGCACATGCAAAAATAATCTTTATCGTACCATTTCTTTATCCTGTACCCTAGCCCCCCCCGTCAAATCTATTTTACATATGGCTAAGATCCAGAAATAAAATCCATGTTCCTCAACCTAGGGCACTAGGTCGTCTTTTATATTTTTCAACATGTTAAGGTAATTAATAATCTTAAACATGTGCAGAATTAATCATTTTGTTTGTGTTCATTATTTTGAAGTGAACCTACACGATTCAATTTTGGTAGTACAAATGGGTATAATCATTGGGATCATCATCCCAAAATATGCTTAAACATATACATGAAACCACCAGCCAGTACTGCAACAAAGGCTTCGCGACACACTTCACATGACTCACAATCCCCATGCGCCGAGGGCGCCTGTAGGACGAAAACACCGGCTCCGATGGATAGGACGCCTTCTCTTCCCACCTAGCGCTGAATAAATGGTGGATCAGAGCTTATTAAGAGCGGAACATCGCCCGAAAAATCAGAGGATTTAGGGGTACCACCATCAAATAGTCTTGGAGGATTAGAAAAAAAAAACAGATCAAAAAAAATAAACCACTAGGATCTTAAAAAAATATTGTCTATTTCATCTAAATTTAGTGGTAGGTTAGGTTTAATTGTTTTTTGATCTGGAAATATTTTTTCTTGATCCCCCGAGGCTAGGGGATATCAAGCTGCTCGAAAGCATCAAAAAAATTATTCAGGGCCAACGCTACACATCACATGCAAAGCATCCCTTTTTTTCCAAGCGCAAAACTGGTGTCAATGGGTCAGACCACAAAATGGTTTTTTCCATGGTTTTCATCATTTTTTCCATGCTTCTCATTGATTTTACATGATGCTCAAGGTGCATTTTCGGCACAACATGCATCTTGTGAACATCTAGAATGTAAGTTGACGCAGAACTGTGTTGGCTGTAAAGTTTCACTGGATGACGTCATGTGCTGGTTTAAGACATCTTTCGGTTTTGGTTTAATGTTTATTTTGGGTTGGTTTAAGGTTCACTTTGGGTTGGTCCAGGATTTTTTTAAAGGTTTATTTAGGGTTAGTTAAGGTCTATTTAGCATTGGTTAAAGGTTTTTGTAGGGTTGGTTTCGGCTCCGTTTAGGATTTATTTTGGGTTCATGTAGGGATGCAGCACGTACATGAAAATAACTATAGTTACGTGGGTGTACATAAAACTAAATAGATTCACATGAATATATACAAAATATAGATATATGTGTGTGTGTAGAGAAGTGTATTCACAAGTGTGCAAACTTGAATTAAGATCAAAAAAGCGGGCGGGGGGCAGAATGACTATACCTATTCTCTCTTGCAAATGCTGTCCGTTGCATATAGTACTCAGGGGTGTCCACGCTGCACAGCATACATCTTGTGAGCATATAGAACGTAGGTTGAGGCAGAACAAATCAGTCAAGTAGATATAGTTGGAGAATAAATTTCAACAAGTGTTCTAGAATACGGTTTTCAGAACTTCCTCCGTTCCTCCCTCCTTCCTTCCTTCCTTCCTTCTTTCCTTTTTTCTTCCTTCCTTCCTTCCTTCCTTCCTTCATTCCCTTCCTCCCTTCCTTCCTACCTTCCTTCCTTCCTTCCTTCCCGTCCCTTCCTTTCCTGTCCTTTTCTTTCCTTTTCCTTTCCTTCCCTCCTACTAGTTGCTATTGTTTTTATACCTTTTTTTTTAACCGGATTTTTTTTTTGATCCGGAAAAATTTTTCTTGATCTGTTTTTTTTTTAAAAACCCCTCCCCCATCAAATAATACTCTTTGAGGAAATTTAGGGGTACCACTATCTTACAATGTACTCTTTGAGGAAATTTAGGGGTACCACTATCTTACAATGGGGGGCCCCCTCAGTTATAAATTGTTTTATAAGCCCCATTAACTATAGCTATTGTAGTTATAAGTACCATAAATCATACTTATTGGAGTTATAAACCAAGTTAATTAACTATCTAGGGGGTACCACTATCTTACAAATCCTTGGGATATTTAGGAAACCCGAGATAGTCTGACAAGTCGGCCCAGACTGATGGTGGCCATGGCCATCCCATCCCCGTACGACCGTCGTTGAGCCCTACGCGACAGTCATTGGGGATCGTCCTCGCATTTCTGGGGGTTGAACATTAAAAAAACAGTTCAACTAACCCAATCAAACATGGTTTATACACACACACACATATATATATATATTACAAGGGCCCATGTTTGTGAAGCCTGTTTCCTGCAAAAAAAACGGTCCTTTTTTTGGAACTGCTTGATTGTGCTTTTGCTGCGGCTCGCTGCGCAGCAATGCGCACAGCCTCAGTCAAGCACCTATGGTGGCCATGAATGCGAGGAGGATGTTAGATGTCACGGCGGGGTGGGTATGTCTTTTGCTGTAGGGTACAACCCTAGGAGCCACTTGAAAGAATCTTCATAGAGCTTCGCAGTGCAAGTGACAACAAACACCGATTCAAGTCTATTCGCTCCCATGTGCATGCTGGGCCGGGTCTCGCCTGCTCTGTTGCCAGCATGAGTTATCCTCAATCGCCACCGACCAGATTATCAGGAATTATGTCATGATAGGCTTTCAGAGTGGAGGCTAAAAGGAAATGAGCTATCCACAAAATAGGTGTTAGGACTTAGCAACAACGGTTGCACATAGCTGCACTTCTGGTCATGCCAGGTGGATCACCGGAAAACCCACCAGGAACGGGGGAGGAAGCTTATGTCACTTGCTTGCTAGGGGGAACATGGAGACCAGGAACAGCCAGGAACACGAGGATACGGAAACTGCACCAGAATGACAGGGTTCCTGAGAAACGTC